GTCATAAACAGGGTCTACAAATCTGTGTTGTTTTTTTGCCATAAACAGGGTTCCCTTTTCAAAATCCCAGCAGAACACCCCTACCCAAATCCTAGCAGAGTACAGTACCCCCACCAGGTGTCATATGTGGGTAGATTTGCTCAAGGTTTCCCTCTTGTGCTTTAAGGGCTTTTCTTTTGGGCCCCAGTTTTCCTCCCTACACAAAACCAACTTTTAGATTCCAATCCTCAGGGCTCATTGGAAGAAGAGCCACTCTGCGGAATTGCCAAAGTTCAATTCAATGTACAGTATTGATTGATCGCAAGTCATGCTACTCTGTGCAATTTTCTCAGTAATGACAAAAGGGTAAATTATACAGGTTGAAAAGATGGAAAAAAGAAAAAACTTACTAATGTTTGGGATGCTAGTCCTTCGTCGGAGTAAAAGAGGAAAGACTAGAGTCTGAAATGTCCCAGTGTATAATTTACCCTTTTATCATTACTGTTTCATTAGAAACACTTATACATCTCACACTAGTTTTTAGCTAGTTATCTCTTCTTAATTTTCTCAGCAATTTGTTTCACAGTGCTTGAAAATATAGCATTGCAAGTTGCCGAGGTGAAGTGTTACACTGCGATGCCATCTCAGCAACTTGCAATATATTCTGGCTCCTCAGGACAAAATTAAGAAATGTGCGCACACATTCTTGAAAAAAATGCCTTATTGGGTTTTTCATAAACATGTAAACTCTGTGTCTCAAAATTTGTTTTTTCGCTGCTGTCAATCAAACCTAATCAGTTGGTACCTTTTTTTTGACTGGCGGCATGCAGCAAAAAAACAAATTTTTGGAGACATAGAGTTTGCATGTTCATTAAAAAATTGCAGCAAGTAAAATTGTGAGAAAAGTTGTTTTAGGGGTGATATCATATTGAGTATCATATGTATTTAAAAAATATTTTTTTAATATATTTAATATATTTGGGTTTCCTTGGTTTGCTCAAAGACACAAAGAAACAAGAACAAATCAACACAAACATAAACATGGTGCAATTGTTGAAGTCTCTTGCATGAGCATTGCAATAGACAGCACTAGCAAAAGATATTTTGCAGGTTGTCAGTGGTTGTATATAAAAGACTGGCCTTTATGATGAATATAAGTTTTCATATGTACAATGTATAAACTTGGATGTAGCTTTATTTCTGATAAAGTCATCCTCATTAGTATTCTTTATGTATAAAGACACAAGTCATTATATAAAAAATTGTTGAATACTAAAATGAAGAGGACTTTATTGGGTACAGAGGTCCAAGAATGTGATGTGTGTGGTCACTAAAACACTATGTACAGTTTGTCACTATGATGTCACAGCTTGTTTATAAGAATGGTCGGCTGCATTGATACATATGTAGCTCTGAATTATATCTGGTTTTCAAATATTTTATGAACCTCTGCTTATCCTACAATATATACGGTATATGGTTGGTATTAATGCTTTCGTAAGTTCTAAAACGTACTTATTGGGCTTACTGGGCTATTTCGTCTTACTGGGCTATTCCTTCTTGTATATATTGGACTATACGTCTAATATTGGGCTATTGATTTCTAAGCGTATGTAAACATCGAGGTGTCAATACGACAACGCAATACTATATTCAGTTGCATCTCCCCCCACCTGACTGAAATGATGAATAAAACCTGGTTTTTAAAAGAATATGGAACCGTAATGGTAATCTTAAGTTAAAGCTTAAGATTTTTAGTTTACAACTGATTCAGTGCAAAAATGAAACGATAGCTCAAAATAAAATGCTTTTTTGAAGGACGAATGAACCCAGAAAACACGAAATAAACCTTATCTCAGTATTTGTATAGATATTAGTGTAGTACGTAAGCATTTCTTACCGGATAAAGGATGGTATTTTTAGCCACATTTTCCTTCTTCTTCCGCCATCTTGTGTGTTTATGTTTTTGACAAAACCCGCACAGCATCATGGGACACCACAGGGATACCATGCAGTAGAAAACACAACGAAAAACAAAAAATGATTATAGAAGTACTTACGGTTCAAGTTATATTTATAAAATATTTTAGATATAACGCGCGCGCTGATTGGCTAGCTACCATGATTATACATGAGGGCAGAGACACACTCGTACAAAATTATTGTTCAAAACGTCTTTATGAATGCAACGCCTCTTGTACCTAAACTTGCTTCTTTCGTGCTCTACAGCTAACAGCGCGTTTATATCACAGTACAGAGGCATGCGCGCGCGTTTTATATTCCTTCATTGAATATTCAATTCATAATTTACTTCACCGAGCGAGCGTGACAGAAGAGACTTCAATAACACATGCGCATTTTCGATTCTTTAATCTTTTTTCTTTTGATTTCATGTCCTGCGCAGTAAAGAAGACAACCTTTCCACCTATAGATATGAAGGTATACAATACAATACAATACAATTTTATTTGGCACCTTATACTAATAGTACATGAGTGTTTGATTCCAAATATATTATAGGTATATATATATACTATGTATTAGGTAATTTTCTTAATTCATTTTCACGTATCAGCATACATTGATGAATGTATGCTGATATGGCTCTTTGTAGAGACGCTGATTTTGAATTGATTAAGAACATAAAACGACTGTCAGCGCTCATATTGTTGAAATTAATGCTGGTGTTTTTTTCTATTAACTCTCTTAAGTCGTTTCTATGAGAGTCATATAGTGGACACCAAACTAGAAAGTGTTTTTCGTTTTCTACTCCCGACTTACACACTGGGCAAATCCTTTCATCGTAAATGAGATAAGGCCTCTTATACCTCCCCGTTTCTACTTCAAGCTTATGGTT